CCGCTATCGATGGAACCGTTGGCCTCTACTCGATGGCAAGTGTCGGATACGGCGACCTGAAATACAAGCCCAGGAGGACGATTCTCCTTCCCGTCGCTGCAAGAGGAAGAGTCATGAAGATGGCTGGGTGCGAGCACCGGATGTGCCTCTGCTGTAGGTGACTCTGCAATCTCGCCTTGCGCCTGTTCGTCGCGATGGCCTACGCTGTTGTATTGAGTTTCGGTGTCCCAAACCTCCGAGGTTGGCGAGGCAGGACGTAGAATCCTATCGAGGGCACGGAGATGACCAGTTTGTCCACAGGCAACCAACTCAGTGTGAAAGGGACTCGCATCTTCCTGAGTCGTCGAGGCAGAGTCAGTCGACATGACGGGCAAAAGGGCCTTCGTTAGATCGTCCACCGCTCGTTGGCTCTCGGAGCTGCAAGAACAAGGAGAGTGATAGGAAGACAAAGAATAGGTGGGTTGGTGTCTATGTTCCTCTGCTTTCCGCACGAGTGTGGAACGGGCTTCCTGGTCGAGCTTGTCTGTAACCCCGATGTGAGCTCCAGCAAATTATCCCGCAAGTCCTCCACAATGCGACCTTGACCACTTCATGCCAACTTTCAGCCGGGTTGGCTCATGCACCTTCCTCCTGTTTCGGGGCTGTGGTCCGCTGTTGTTGCTGATGCCTGTGAGCCACCCTTAGGGGACGTCTACCAGTCAGCCTAAGTCTTTAACCATCCCTTGCATCAGATGGTTCGTGTACCCCTGACCAGGACACCTCCAGCTTCTGCATCTACGCGTCGATCACATCCCAAATCCACCAGCAGCCGACTTCCAAATAGGCAACGAGACAAATCTCTAGAGTGACTGGGCGGACCGGCTCTCCCGAATCATGAAGACTGGCCCGCAGCTCCCCTGCAGTGGGAGTCAGGGGGTGAGCGTGACGCAGGATTCTGCCTGTTGATTTCTCTTCCCTCGTCTTGGCATGGGAAGTGCTGGGGGGTGGCGAAGCTCGCAGGGAAGGAAGCCTCGTGACAAGGGAAGGGCTGCCCACGTCGGCATCCACCTCGGAAGAAGAAGGTAGCCTCTGTGAAACCTGCGTCCGCGGCTGCCGAGGTACGGATGTTTTGCAATACTGGTTGGATATAACAGTTATGAAATATTGGCAAACAGGCAGGGGCTCTAAAGCGAGCGGCTCCCAAGACTCGGTCCAGCTAACCAACCGACTCATCACGTTTACTTAGGGGCGAGTGTTCCAATTCCCACCAACACGGGGCAGATGTGACCCATGAAATGCAAATCCGACTGTCCTTTGTCCAAGCCCCTGGGAAGACTGCAAGGGCTACGCCATGACCAGCACGCGGCCAGTCAAAGAAGGCGTGAAGCTGCTGTAGCTATCCTACTTGCTTCCCTTGCCAGAGATCTAACGAGTTTTGTCCATTCCCTCGGGTTTCCTTTTGCCAACCCCCATTCTTTCCCGACACCCAGCATTGGGCCCATACTCTACTTGCGGGACAATTCACTGGATTTTTATTTTTATTTTACTTTCCTCCTTCACTGGCCGAAAAAAGTCTACAGACAAGCCTGCAAGCGAAATGTCAGCTCCCGCAGTAAGTAACATAAACCCAGGTGATGCCATCGACAGGAATGGCCTTTTCTAACACGAAACTCCGTTTTCTTTCTCTGCTCTAGCAGAAGAAAAGCTTAGTCCGAATTCGAGACAACCAAAGGAGATCGCGCGCCGGAGAGAGTATGTCCAGGAGCTCGAACAGCGACTCAGGGTATATGAGCTCCAGGGCATCGAGGCTTCGACCGAGATCCAGATGGCCGCGAGGAGAATAGCCGAGGAGAACAAGCAGCTACGGAGCTTCTCAACAGGCATGGCTTTAGTGACGGCCAAGTTGCCCATTTCTTGCAGTCGGGCACTTTCGTGCTACTTGATGCCGACCAAAACCATCCTTTTCGCGCCGGCGACCCTGGGGCCGCCGTCCAGTCGCTGGAACAGCTCTTGGTGCCGCGTCGACTAGCCAGTCTAGATCAAGACTTCTCCCTCTCTTTGCCGAGACAGTCATGTCGGGATCCCTCCACTACTAGCGGGTCGACGACAAAGTCGTCCATCTGGGAGTCATCGCAGCTCACGACATCCTCATACGGCTATCAAAATCACATGGGCATGGCTACCGCAGTCATGGGCTTGGGGGTTCAATCCAAATACCCACTGACAACCCCGTTAAGTCGTGCGAGCACCACGCGACAGGGCAGTGTTCATTGCGAGCGTCCGTCTCTGTCGATGCTGGACAGTCCCGGCCAACCCATGGTCACCACACAGGCTATGTTTGTAGGCGACCGTCCGGTAATGCACTTGCAACGCCCTCTACCGACATATACATATTCAGACTCGACGATACCACATTACGGTCCTCCAGGAAGCACCCCTGGCAGTTGATTCCCATGCTTCGTCCAGTGGTGACAGCAGAAATGTACACGTTGATGCTGGGAATTGCCTGTAAATACAAACATTCCCTTCAAAGCTGTCACCCGTTCTATGACTATATTTCATAGAATTGGCTCCACAAGTCTGTAGTTGATCAGTAAATGCCAATCCGTTATCGTAGCGAACGTCAGCCGAGTGCGCGTAAGCGAACATGATATGGCGAGGCATTCAAGCGTACAGAGCCCAGATCTGTCTTGCAACCCGCAGTCTCGGTGGTTACGCGAATGTAAGACTCCGACCATTACCTGTTGGTTCCGCTGCTGCCTTGAGAGGTCCAGCTGCCTGGTCCAGGGGGAAGAGCTACTTTAGGAGCAATAGTCTTTCATTCATTATCCTGTGCGAAGCTTACAGGTGCCGCAGCCAGCAATCAATTCAGGTCGAGTAGCATCCTGCATGGGGCGCGCGCATGGTATGCCTGCCTGTTTCCATCAAACATGATTTGGCATACCCATCTCGGCCTGATTCCTCCTCAAGGTGCGTTTTGGCTCTAGTATACTGTTAATACTCTAGTCGCCTCGGGCTTCAGCCTTGTGGTGGAAGGTCGAGCACTATAAAGTCCAAAACTTTCCTCGGCCCAGGCTGCGTATTTCCATGGCACCCACGCCAAAGCCCTCCACCGAGCTTGAGTATCCGAACTACGGCATATTAGCCGTCTTCTGCGCCGATTTTCACCGATGGCGGATGAAGCTAGCCCTCGTACTGAGGATGGGCGAGTCTTTGACTTGGCAACATACGCGGAGGCACTCCTCGCCACCGCCCCTGAATATAACTGCAACTTGCCGGGCCAGTGTGAAGACAGTGAACTGAGCAGAGTTCCTGACTTGCACGGGAAGCAGCGAGAAGCCTTCGCATCCGGCGCCGCACAAGTCCAGCAGAGGTCAGCATTCGCATATGCAGTAGCGCCATCTAACATGGAGCAACCACATTCCGACCGCGATCGATACTATGTATGTCTGGTGGCGGGCTGCTTACTGGCGTACGTTGATGAAAACGACTTGAAATCCCATTCAAAGGTTTGCATCGCATCGCATGGGACACACCGGGGCTTCCAAAGCCTGGCTGATGTTGAGGAGCCAAGTCCGTTTCCTAGTGTGGTGTACGAGCCGAGCCCACCATATGAGAGCAGGGCGACAGATTATCGCAATATCGGTGAAGAGTCAGTCGTGGTTCGTCACTTTCCCAGTACACAGTCCCCCTTGTCGGGAGTGGCGCAAGCGGATAGCCGTGCAGTGAACGCGCCTCAGATGTCGCCCACCATGGGCTTGACCGTCAGAGCCGTCACCTCGCAGTCAATGCCTGTGATCAACGCTCCCCGCGTCGACAGCCATGGCGATACGAGTCCCAAGAGTGCGACAGTCCAGTCAATAGGCACGGGCGCCGTGCTAACGAAGCCCACAACCGTGTACGCCGACAACAACAGTGACGACCAGCTCTCTGTGCAACAGGTGGCAGGGCAGGATGAACGACCACAGCCGGGCTTCTTGTTCTTCTCACAGACATCCAACATCATCCGAAGAACCGACCGGGCTTGCCAAGCTTGCAGGGCAAGAAAATCCAGATGTAGCAGGACCCAACCATGTGAGCGGTGCGTTGCAGGGGGGAAGACTTGCCAGTATTCGAGATCATCCCAAAGAAGGGTTCCGCGGCATCGGCATCATGTGGTGCATACAGATCACACGTAAGCAGAAACTGTCATGGTTCGGATTCCTATTATACTAATATCCTCTAGTCGCGATGAAAAGCATACGGAACCTGGGGGAGGGCCGCATTAAGGGGTTAAGGTCATAAAGCGCAGCCGCAAAGCCATCTGGCCCCAAGCCTGCCCATGAGATTTATCTTCGAAGCAACACATTACTAGCCACTTACCGCAAGGCACTGGCATCGGCTGCATGTGTTATTGTGAGGATAAAAGCTGCGGACAGAAATGAAGTCGAAGACACGCGGATGCGAGGTGACGATGGGACGATCTTCATTTTCAGCCGGGGTTGCAGAATCGTTAGCCGCGTAACCGTGGAACAAGCAAGTGCCTCTTCGGAGTTGGCCGAGTGGAATAAGGTTATTTGTGTAGATAATTCACTATGAGTACAGTGCTGTATCTGCCAGCCGACTAATTGTGTCCACATATGTAACCCGAGTTTTATTCCTCCGAGCCAGAATGAGATTTTGTAGTTATATTCGGCTCTATAAGTCTATATGTTGTCCACACTCGTGGACTAGGAAAGACGAAATGAATGATCTCTTGATTATGATATCTCTAGCTACAGAAGGAGTGGAAGGCTAGGTCTTATATAGACATAACGTACCCCACTGCGTCATGCAACGCACCATGTCATGCAACAAATTGTCCGACCGGCAAGCCACAGCGAAAATTAATCCTGCGACCAACACAACCATTGACAATATTTTTGAAAATTTCAGAAATATGAAATAGTATATATAGAATCTATTGATATAAATGTTTTATTTGTAAATGCAGTCTGGCGGTCTTGTGGTCCCCTAGACCCGAGAGACAGAGAAACCGGCCTCTACTGAGTAACTGCGCACCCTGCTTCCTCTATGTCTTCGTCGTCAGGGACGTCTATCGCCACCATTTGACGAAGAACATCGTATGTATAGACCTGGACAGCTTCCGCGTCCTCTTCGCTCTTCGGATCGTACATTGTTGACTCATCAAATTGTACATTCGCCGAGACCATCAGTTTGGTCTGGCGGATCGAGGGTATCCACACGACATATTGATGGGTCGATCTGTAGCCCACCAGGTAACCGATATGAGCTCTCTGCTCAAGCGGGGACTGCGTCTTATGTGACTTTACATGCTCCAACGCAGTGATTGCCATTGGGTAGGCCACACAGCCGAAGACACGCAGGTGATTTATGCTCGGCTGGACTCGCTTGATGTGGCCGTATAGAGGTTGTGGTCCCTCATATGGGTCCACCATCGTTCGTGTGGGCTTCTCCAGCTATGATCAGATCCTTTAAGTGGCGTACGGTTGAGCAAATACACTGCTGTGCGGTAGGTCTCGGTCCAGAGCTCCTCCGGGATGCGGGAGTCCAGGTTCATAAGCCGGGCCCTTTCTTTGACCACGGCCCCGGACCTTTCTGCATGCCCATTTTGCGTGGGCGTGGATGGAGCTGACTGGAAGACCCGAATGCCCAATCCTTCGATGAATTTGACTAGCTCCTTTGTTAGAAGGGCTTTTTCTCCGTCAGAAGCCAGGTTGATCAGTTTTATCCCGTACTGAACTAGTTTCTAGCATCGATGTTAGCTTCTTGAAAGCATCTCGGACCTTCGTTTTGTTCGTCAATGCATAATAAAACCTCATTCCGGTCGTCATGCATGTGAATAGCGCAAAGTACTTTTCACCCCCGAATCCGGCCACCGGGCCTGGGTGTAAGTCGAAGCTAAATTGAGCACCGGCCCTCTGGGTCGTAAAGTGGGCTCTCACGGAGACCTGCCTCTTTGCCTTGCCTGTTGCGCAGACCTCGCATTCACACGTGGCCGGTCCTTCCATCTTGGTTAGGTGGCTAAGGGGTTCTGGCCCCGGATGTCCTAGCCGTCTGTGCCAAAGGTCTGCTTGCCCACCCATTGGTGGCTTAGGAGCCCTGCTTGTGACAAAGACGCTGTGTTGGGGCCGCTTTGAGAGGCTTGCAATAACGTATTGGTCTTCAATTTCTTGCAGGCTGACCAGAGTGCGCCCTGTGGGCTCATGGTAGAGTGTGCCGTTAACCTGGTTCCAATAGATCTTCGCAACAATCCCCTGACGAGCTGAGAACATACTTGTTGGCATCTCTGGGATGTAGGTATCTCTGAGAGGAGCATGAGAACCATATCAGAGAGGGGGTCTGCTATGCGTCACGAAATGGACCTCCTGCAGCATACTGGGAGTTTTCGAACGCAACAGCGGCCTATCTGAGAAATAGGGAGTTGTCAAGGAATGGCTAAAAGCCCATGGGAGTTATGGCGTGGAGAGAAGCCAAGATCAGGGCACTTGAGAGTGTTCGGATGTCCTGCCTGGGTATTTATTCCCAAAGAAAAGAGAACAAAGCTTCTGAAAAGAGCATGGCAAGGAGTTTTGTTGGATACAAAGAGGAGACAGATAAAATCTATCTAGTCTGGAACCCAGCTGATAAGAAGGTCCACGAGGTTCGATTCGTGGAATTCGATGAGAGCAAGTATATGGACAATGAAATCAGCCAAGAATCACAATCGCAGTATGACGATGAGAAGGAAGAGAAAAGGGAGCAAGGGGAGCTCACTGATGATGACTCTGATGCCGAAGATTCGGTCAGGATAGGACCATGGACCAGGAAGCTACAGAAGCTGGGAGGATGCCGGAGAAGCAGCGGACGGGAACCCGACCGGCCAAGACACTGCAGATTCGGAGGAAGAGCTCCAAGGAGACACAATCATTGTCAATACAGGGGAGGCGGATATAACCTCTCCTGAAAGGAGTCTGCCGAAAACAAGATCCCAGATTCGACGAGAGACCGTGGCACTCAAAAGAGCAGAGAAGCAGCGAGCAGAGCTGGAACGGCGGCAAAGAGAAGAACAGCGCATGGCAGAACGTCTGAAGAAGCGAGGGGAGAGTGGCAGGAAGGAAAGAGCCATGGTAGCAAGGACGCTTCTCCAGCCTAATACAGACCTGTACGACTTCGACCCGAAAAAGCTTACCTTCCGACAGGCGATGGAAGGCAGTGAGAAGGATCAATGGGTAGGAGCTATAGATGAGGAAGTTCAGAATCTCATTCGACGACAGACATTCTCGGAGGAAATCAACGAAGTTGACTGTGAGGGAACGATCATGTGACTTTCATACTTTATGAAATGTCTCACTTTGATTCATGTAAATAGCGAAAGTCAGAGTCTTCCTTAGGAACCTCCTTCTCTCTTCGTAGACAATCACTTTACCCAAGTCGCACCCGACCTTGTTCGTGCACTTGTACCGTCACACTTGTCGTCGACCCGCTGGTAGTGGAGGGCTCCCGACATGACTGTCTCGGCAAAGAGAGGGAGAAGTCTTGATCTAGACCGGCTAGTCGACGCGGCACCAAGAGCTGTTCCAATGACTGGACGGCGGCCCCAGGGTCGCCGGCGCGAAAAGGATGGCCTTGGTCGGCATCAAGTGGCACGAAAGTGCCCGACTGCAAGAAATGGGCAACATGGCCGTCACTAAAGCCATACCTGTTGAGAAGCTCCCGTAGCTGCTTGTTCTCCTCAGCTACTCTCCTCGCGGCCATCTGGATCTCGGTCGAAGCCTCGATGCCCTGGAGCTCGTATACTCTGAGTCGCTGTTCGAGCTTCTGGACATACTCTCTCCGTCGGGCGCGCGATCTCCTTTGGTTATCTCGAATTCGGACTAAGCTGTTCTTCTGCTAGAGCAGAGAAGAGAGACGGAGTCTTGTGTTAGAAAAGGCTATTCCTGTCGATGGTATCACCTGGGTTTATGTCACTTACTGCGGGGGCTGACATTTAGCTTGCAGGCTTGCATATAGACTCTTCTTAGCCAGTGAAGGAGGAAAGCAAAATTAAAATTAAAATCAGGTGAATAGTCTCGTAAGTAGAGTATCGGTCCAATGCTGAGGGTCGGGAAAGAATGGGGGTTGGCAAAAGGAAAAACCTTGTTAGATCACTGGCAAGGGAAGTATTTGGGGAAAGAACAGGTAAGATAGCTACAGCAGCTTCACGCCTTCTTTGCCTGGCCGCGTGCTGGTCATGGCGTAGCCCTTGCAGTCTTCCCAGGGGCTTGGACAAAGGACAGTCGGATTTGCATTTTACGGGTCACATTTGCCCCGTGTTGGTGGGAAATGGGACACTCGCCCCTGAGTAAACGTGATGAGTCAGTTGGTCAGCCGGACCGAGTCTTGGGAGCCGCTCGCTTCAGAGCCCTGCCTGTTTGCCAATATTTCATAACTGTTATATCCAATTAGTATTGCAAAACATCCGTACCTCGGTAACCGCGGATGCAGGTCTCACAGAGCTACCTTCTTCTTCCGAAGTGGATACCGACGTGGGCAGCCGTCCCCTTGTCATGAGGCTTCGTATGCTGCAAGCTTCGCCACCTCCCGACCTTCCATGCGTATGCATACATATTGCCACTTAGGGCCAAGACGAGTGAAGAGAAATTAACAGGCAGAATCCTGCGTCACGCTAAACCCCTGACTCCACTGCAGGAGAGCTGCGGGCCAGTCTGCATGATGCAAAAGAGGCGGTCCGCCTAGTCACTCTTCGCCCCGGCGCCTATTCAGAATGTGGCTGCTGATGGATTTGGAGAATTAGCCGATGTGATCGGCGCGTAGATGCAGAAGCCGGAGATGTCCTGGTTGAGGAGAAGGTCCATGACGGAGTCTCCGGGAGGATGAATGCGGAGTTTCAAACGCCTGAGCGAAGATGGCAAACCCCTGGGCAGGGGCACAGACGGCAACGAGCTTATAGGTCTCGAAGGAGCAAGCGAGGGGCCTTGCAAGTCTTGCAGACTAGATGAACGTATTGAGTTCTAATCATGAGTCTTCACCAACCCCTGAAATGGTATTGGTCCCTGGATGCCTCCTCCAGTAAATATCTGTTCCACGAGCCAGCATTAATGTCTTCGCTTGCCTTCATGTAAGACTTCTTTGGAAATTGCCTCAAGTTCAGCGTATCTTGCAATACGTGCTGATGATTGAACACAGTGTCGGTTACGAATGTCCCTTGCTGCCTTTCCGCACGAGTCCAAATCGGAGAGAGTCAGTTAACTCGGTCGTAAGCATGCTACGACGAGTCGTTCGTGACGATAGAGGTGCCGTGGCTTTCCCACGGTCGCATGTAGCTAGAGTGTCTTGAACGTTGGATCGAGGCCCCTCGCTGCTGCGCTTGTCTGAGGTTGCCTGTTGCTCTCTTTCACTCTCCAGCATAAGTGTAATGAGAGATTGTCGCTGCCTTGTCCCAGGACGGGGTACAGAACGCTGGAACAGCTGCGAATCCATGATCCGCTCGCCACTATTATCAGAAATGTAGTCGTCGAGAGTAAACTCGTCGTCCCCCCCATTTTCAGATAGAATTAATGCTTCGTTCGTGCATGTGGGCAGGGCACGTCTGAACGCCTGAACACCTTCAATAACGTGGAGTTCGGAGCCAGGCGAGCTGGTTGTCTTGAGCGAGCCCTTCTTCGAGATGGTGCTTGTTTTGCACATGGCTTTCAAACGACGAGTAGAAGGATGCGCGAACTCATAGATGTTTGTTTGAGGAGCATGTTTCATTAGCTGAACTGAAGATCATACATACGAGATGATTTACGCGGAAGGCATGGCTTCCTTTAATGCTTTGGAAGGCACTTTCGCATCCCGCTTCCAACTATGGAAGGATTACTTGAAGCCTTTGCATCGACCAATGCGGCATGAGCGTGTGGCCCAAACTTGGGACGCTTAAATTGAAGGAAGCAGCCGTGGGCAGAGGGCTGACAGTGATATAAATCACCGTCGCTTAATTGAGTGCCCTCAGAATTATACCAGGTGCTCTGTCGACCGTTCAGTGCCGGATTTTATCACTACAGATAGTTGTATCTCCATCTCTCTTTCTACCCGTTTTCTCTGGCGCTCTCTTATCATACTGTCTAGAGGTACTGCTGGCATAAATAAAATCGCCAGACAAAGTCCACACTGACCTCCAAACTGGTGTCTCACCCGACCAGTCACAGAACACACTAGGAGCACAGATGATGCTAGGAACATCAATCCGCTTACTGCTCCAAGCCACGGCATGCCCTGGTTTGACGTCGGCTGCTCTGGCTAATGCTGGTTAGAGTGCCGGCCAAAACGACGGAAACACTGTGTCTTCCTCCATATCGCCATAACCATAATAACGATAGTCAAGTGAGACACCATTGGAGCAGCGCACCAGTATTCGACACCAGATCGTCTAAATTGCCAGACGGCCGCCCCAATAAACGGTAGGTGAAAGGCCAATACTAGTCCACAAATGATGATTCTCGCCTTAATGGAGGGACCAGACTCGACGGCGCGAGAAAAATAGGCGTAAATCAAGGGATCGACGACTTGAATAAGCTGTAAATCATGAGTATATCGGGGAGGTAATTAGACGGACCTGAATAGGGAGTACCTCAATGATGTCGACGCATAACATGGTGACCCCTTTCCAGGCTGTGAAGAAGGGGTAGGCAAGGACGCTTGGTAGGAGTGCATTTCTCGCACTGCCGAACAAAGCGGCGAATAGTAAACCGCTACCCAAGAAGAGACATGCTGTGGGAATCAATGCCCAACTTCGCCTACGCGAAGCTTCTCGTGGCTTGACCCTGATCATCCAGTACAGGTAAGGCCCCATAAAGACCGTGGTCACGGCAAACACGACACCGGCCTCGATGACCTCCTTGACGGTAATCTCGTCGTGCATGTCGAAATTCGGCGACCTTGAATGATGGAGAGAGCGGAACTCGGACTTAGAGTTGAGAATGAGAGCACCGAGCTTCCTCGGAACGAGACGTGCTTTATATAAGGTTAAGTCATAAAAGCGAATTTTGGTACTTGGAAGTAACACTTAGATGAAGAGAGCCTTACGAAGTTGTCTAGCCGTTTTGCGAACGAGCATACATACCGAGTGAGGTGGAAATGGGTGCTTTGTCCGTAGTAAGGTTACACTGTCTTTGCCTCGAGACTGGGATATAGTTGATATGATGATTTACGTATATGAGGCGGGTGAGGTTCCTCCACATTGAAGCGGCCTGTTCAGAGTAGGGTGGGCGGAACGGCACGTCTTCAGCAGATTGATGCGGTTGGCCCCCCGTTATGAGGCCATCCAGTAGATCGGCATCACCAGCAGTGCATACAACCTGGTTCATGCACTATGGCTTGCATGTGTCTAAGCTCGCCTTGACAAGGGGTCGGAACGCTATGGGCATGCGCAAGGGCAATTTTCCCGGGTCTGCAGTCAAAATGAACATGGCCGTCCCGATACCATGGGCTCTCTGGTGGTGATGGATCAGATAAGGAAGGTCAAAGCACGAGCAAAAGGTGTCGTTGCTCCATTCCACATTGGGATTTGTGAGACAATGGCGCGGCTGCAGGAAGCATGACTTTCAGCTGTGACAATTCCGCAAGATGGGCTTCGTACTGGCTCGCAGAGCCAAGAACCTGGCTCTCCTGGTCGTTCCTGATCTCGGTCTCGTCGGGGCCGTTGGTCGGGAGCATCAAGAAAAGCAGGATTGTCAGGCGGGAAGAGAAGGAACAGAGGTAGATCTCTGAGACGGAAAAGATAACTAGTTACTTGGCGATTCCTTCGGCTTATTCGTCCCCTCAAGAATCATCTCCATCGCCCTTTCTAAAAGTGCTCTACCCTTATCGCTGTCTAACTCATTAACAGAACACGATCCTTGACCCTCCATAAAAACCGCGCTCGCACCACAACTCGCTAGTTTGACGATTCTTCTGGTCTCTTCCTGCCATGTTTCGCGCATGCTTGTTTCCATTTTGGCGGTGATTCTCGCAAAAACCGGGATGTTCACTCCCACACCCAACCTGAAAGACTCCCACAAATTTCTATTCTCCCTGAGCTTTCGACTCTCCCAGTAACGGAATAGAGATGCTTTATATCTAAGGTCGTGGAACTTGCTGCGGAATGTTTTGTCCTGCATACACCTCTCGCAAGTTTCGGTGATGATCTGAAACGGTTCGACTCCAAGTTGGCACGGTTCGTCATGGCTGCACCTCTTCTGACCAACATCATTGAGGTGACCGCACCTAATCGAGCATGGAGTGACAAGATGCGATGCCATCGTCTTATTGCAGGTAGCTTGACAGCGCCTTTTTGAGTTGCAGAAGAGTTGAAATGGTGAAGACTTTATCGCCATTCGGTGCCATATATACCAGAAATCCGGCTCCGCAGATGCCTGCACACTCTATGTGCCTACAATGCGAAGAACAGGCAATAATGCTTCACCTGAACTCTGTCGCAGGACTTATAGTCTCACTACTATACTATGTCGTTGGCCATGTCACCTGCAGCGTGTGTAGTGCAAGCTCGGTACAAGACCAATCAGGCAAGACCTACGCCTGCCGCAGAGATCTGCAGACCCACCCACACTGAAAGGGGGGCATCATTGATGGCAACCTCGTCCTGCATGTCGAAATGCGGCACCCTTGAGAGCGAAATGCGGACGTAGAGTAATGAGAAGGCATATGGGGACCGGATTGGCCCTGAGCGAGACGTGCTTTATATAGACGTTTAAGTCGTAACAGCGAATGTTGGTATATAGCAAGGAACGCGCAGGTGAAGAGACCACAGCACGTTGTCCAGTCGCTTTACAACCGGGAAGACCTACATAGAGTAAGCCCGTTTAGCTTTTCACCTAGGTACTTTGGACAAGTCCTCCGTCTCCTCCCGTCCGTCATTAATGTCCAAAGTAATGAATCCTATCTTATTCGACTTATCATAATATCATATTCCCCTCCCGTCTCTCTCGACGGTTCCCGAGCCAATCAGAGAAACTTCATTTCAGCACGGTTGGCCTGGAGAGAACGTCTAGGGGTGAAGATTTATGTGGGAGAGGGCTCGGGGCGGGATTACTCCGTACGCGCATCCAAAGGCATTGTAAGGCGCATACACAACGAAACAGAGAGTGAAGAACGGGGGCCAGTAATGCAATTGATTGATCTCTGACGAGCTCCTTCAGAGGCTATGCGACCCTACTTTATAATCACGAGATGCCTCCCAGTCCCGTGCTTTTCTCTGGAAAAGTCACTCCAGCCAGTAGTTGGAATTAACCAGCCATCTACCGTGGTCAAGCACTTTAAGCGCGTGACAGGCATGTGCGCATATCCTGTACGAAATCAAGAGAGATTTTTTTGTCAGGACCCTCTTCCTTACTCTCCTTACCCTCCTTACCCCCTTTACCCTCAATGCCGCACTTGCCGACCTTACCTACTTGCTATCCCGGTCTACCAGCTCTGATTCTTACTCCCTACCGTCCTCGCACGTGATTTTTCCCTCAAGATTTATTCTACCCTGCATTTTGGATTTGCGCCGCAGGAACACGACTAATGCGATCAGTTGAAGAACGCGATTCTTATTGCGACGCGCACATTGCCAGGGGCTATTGGCGGTTATCCCATTTGGGCTGTAGTCGAAGCGGAATCCCTTTCAGTTGTTTGTCCGAACCTGTAGACAGATCATTTTATCGCTAACTTACTGGAAATGGAGACTCAAGCACGCGAACTTTGGCAGAGAACAGTCATGAGTTTTGTCGAACAAAGGAGTAAATTTGCAGTGAGATCTTCATGAACGGAGGAATATGGTGTTCAGCCGATGAGCTTTAACAGGGTAATGGTAAAGCACTTATGGAAAGGGCGATTGACAAGACGCTGGAAAAGGCAAAGGCATTTAGTCACAGGTGGCATAACCATCAATTAAGGTAAGTAGACCTTTCTAGGTTCTTTATGAGTTATATGTACTTGCCAGGTAGATTTCTAAAGCAGGTGACAACAATAACAGGCAAACTCCATCATGCCTCGTGTACTTCGCTAGTCTATCCTCTCAACTGTACTTGGTGGATTAAGCAAGCCAAAACGAATGTTTCAGTCCCATTCAACGCTGCTAGAGTTCCCAATTCATGTATTTTACGTGCTGAAGCACTGGGTAGGAGGGCTCACCGTTGGTCACAGGGTTACAGACGGCGCAAGTGTACTTGCCACATGCAGCCTTGACCTTGTTCGAGCCCATCTCAACCTCGATGACTCTGTGGCCTGCTTTGCTCAGCTCGTTGCAAGGGTCGAATTTAAAGGTCTCCATGCTACCCCGAGTGCCACATGAGTAAATTTTGACGGAAACGTAGTTCTTGCACATACTCGAACAAGATCAGAGATATGTATGATGGGACCGCTTGAGTAGACTGAACTGACATGAAGGAGGTTGGGAAATATGAATGGAGGTGATACAGCAATAATGGCGCAATCGACAATGACTTATATAAGAGAGTTGATTCACTCATCAACCCGGCGAGTTCGGTCCTTTTTATAGTGCTCTTGAGCTTTTGAAGAGTTAAGGGACCGCCGGACCGGACATGCTACATGGACCACCGACTGGGGTCGCTTAGGCAGCCGCACCATGCAGCAGCTTGGGTTGAATCAAGGCTGAGGATACAACGTAAATTATCATTTTCAAGTCATTTTGATCAATGTATGAGAGGTACGGCTAAAGTAGGCTCTAGTTAATGGGCCCTTGGTTTTCCTTATCGGGCCCTTAAAGTGTGGCTAAAATAGTCACATGACTGTCGCGTCCCTTTCCCCGCCAAAACATTAGCCGCCAACTGTGAAAAGCTGTCAATACGGCCTCCGTACTCGTGCACCCCCACTTGTGGGTGAGCCAAAGCGAATCCCAAAGTGGAGGCGGGCACGAGTAGTCAATGGTGCATCCAGCTAGAACGCGACAAAGTTGACAACGCGCATACAACGCACGCCAACGTACGAACGCACGAACGCATACCAAGGTGAGGGCATCCCCAACGCACCAACGCCGCACCGATGAAGTCACCTTTCCGCCGCAAGTTCGAGACCTGGCAAGCTGCTGCAGAGAGCGCCGTAGCTGCATTACGGAGCGAGAGCCTAATCAGGGACTGTGTCGTTGTAGCGACGTAGCCTCGGGCATATGTTCCACGAGCCTGTTCAATTGCCTCACTCATTGACATTACATTAAGCACCCTACTTTTAACGGCTCTACGTGAAATGCAGTTATGCTGTCGGGCCTATGACGCCGGCAAATGTGTGCACCGGCGCGCGTGCAAGCAAAGCCGCAAAGTAGGTTTGACAGTCCGCCACACTTTCAGCCACACTTCAAGGGCCCGATAAGGAAAGCCAAGGGCCCATTAACTAGAGCCCTAAAGTAAGCGCACTAAAGATCCCTCTTGCTGAATTTCATAAGTTTGTACGGACTCCGTAGCGATAAGCAAAACACCGGAGCGGAACAACCTCTATTCCAGCCTTGAGGACACGCTCGCGGCTTCTGTGCGAAGTAGTAAGGTAACAGTCTTAAGGTTCACCGTTTGTAGCAGCTACCATCCACTAATCTCGACTCAGGGGTCTTACGATCTTTCACGTTACCCGCATATTCACAATGGAAAATAATGGTTCCACGAGCACCATTGAATTGATTAACCCTGGAGTCATGCTCAAGCAGCCGATTCAGTTCCAGGCGGAAGACCTTGCCGAAATAGTCGATCTCTGCTTTTCTGTCGAGCCGCTCATACTCCAGCAACTCGGAGAACATCCAAGGATCGTGAGGTATGCGCAAGTATAATAGCTCTGAGTGCCATGGACACTTATGGTACTGAACTTTAGATATCTCGGGCAGCATGGCCGCGGTCTACTGCTCGGTCAGGCGAGCCACGGCAATCTCCAAGCCTATATTGACAGCAACCCTTCGATCAACTTGCGTCAACGAATGTTATGGTGTCAACGATTGGCCGAAGCTATCTCCTATGTTCATAATCGCGGCGTCGTTCACTCGGATCTTCGCCCAGCAAATGTTCTTGTTCACGAAAGTACCCCAGGATCTCGGGACTTGTTGCTCTGTGATTTTGGTGGATCTACATGTGATGAACTAGGTCTGGATGGAGGCTGCCTTCCCGATGGCCCTTTCTACCATCCAATGTTTGGTTTCGAGTCAAGTCCAGCTCTCGACATATTCGGCCTTGGGTCTCTCTTTTACACCATCTTGACAGGCTGTTGGCCTTACAGATCGACAATTGGCCAACTGGAAACTACAGGTGAGAAGGTGCCGTATGAAAAGGCAGTTGCCGAGGCTTACAATGAGGGTATGTATCCCGACTTAACGGGCATAGCAGGAGGAAGTGTGATTATGGCATGTTGGACGAAGCGGTACAAGACAGCAGAGGAGGTCCTGCGCGCTTTGGAAAGGGAAATGCCGATTCCTAAGGCAGAAGGAGGTTTGATAGAGGCTCATCACACCTTCGTGCTCTTCGGAGTGGTAGTTTCTGTTGCTGTATTGGCAGTCCTCACACACGTACTCATCCAGCGACAGGGGCGATAAGCAGTCGCTGAGCAAGAAGAGGCTTTTGATACGTGGTGCTTTGTTCGACTTCAGACAGTGCACTTGTTTTCAACAAGCTTTGATTACATGTAGCGAAAGACAGCATCCCTAGTTGTGGCTTCCCTTGACGTCGAGCCGTTGTCGTTGAATCAGTGAATGCGTGCGAAAGGCACAATACGACGCGCTAGAATTGGTTTTCCTGCAAATGGTTGGAAGCTAATTTGCTCTTGCGCTTCATTAAGTGGCAGGTTTCGGGCAGCCAGCGTTCTAGCAGCGAGTGCGGGAACAGTTGTGGTGCGGGCGATAAGGAAAGTAAGGCGGGTAAGGACGGCAAGGATGGCAAGGATGGCAAGGATGGCAAGGATGGCGAGGACGGCAAGGATGGCAAGGATGGCAAGGACGGCAAGGACGGCAAGGATGGCAAGGACGGCAAGGATGGCAAGGACGGCAAGGACGGCAAGGACGGCAAGGGTTTCTAACGGTACAATAGGGTATAGGTCGGAAGCCTAGCCAATCTCTAGCGCCAGTAGACGGCGTTACATGCATGTGTAGTAGCAGCGGGTAAGCGTGGTGGGGTTCGTACTCTCGCGAGGATGCTCACGGATTGCAGGTACTACCGTATTTTATTTGGTAGTTGGTACTCCTTATGCGGGCGAGCAGCGGCGCAAGTCAGATTCCTTCATGCGTCTACGGAGTCCTTTAATACCTTACCAACCTTGCCCACTGCACCACGAATCATTTCTATCTAACTCGGTGACGCGACAAGAATGGCCTCGTGGATGAAGAATTTCTCCAAGGTCTCCCAGGAGCTGGCGGATCTCCAGCGAATACCCCTGGAATACGAAGGAAGACTGGACCAACGCCTTCCTTTGGTCTTCGAAGAGGTCTGCAGCCGGCTCCCCAACGCTCCGGTGGCACGGAGTTCGGCCGAGAATGCCGCCAAATGTAGACGACGCAAAGCTCATTTCAAGTACCGAGAATTTATCTTTCGTTTCCCTCATGATTTCTTGGCGTTTGTCTTAGCAGTAGGGCCAAGGGCCTGCACCACCTTCAACGTCTTGCAGTTTACTCGATCATATAAGCAGAAATATCCAGTATTACTTGGCGACGACATCAGGAAAACGATTGATAAATCCGCGAGAAGACAAGGAATCCACAGCCATCCTGAATTCTTGGAATGGATGAGCCTACTATTCGAAGGTTCGTGTTCCCGCGATGAGTTAGTTCTGGCAGAAGTTGACAAGGCATACAGTACCCCACGTTGGTGTGCAAGCTGCTCGCTTTGGTGCAGCGGACATGGCCGTTCTACCAAGACTTCTCGGGGACCGGATCTATGCTGCTGTCCTGGACTCGCCCAAACGGATCGGAGAGCAACTCAATCCGAACATGAGGCTCTTAACAGAGTGTGCCGTGGCAATATTACCTGACGGGGTTTACCAGGACATAATACTATGGCTGGACGTCGGACTAAGCAATGGGCTTGCTATCGAACTCTTTCAGAAGCGCAGCAACAGTTACATATCGCGCAATCAGGTACTAGGGCGACACTAGAAGCGGCCTCAGTATCCGCCTTAGAGACTGTTTTTCCGACTGTCCTTCTGGAAGCAATGAACCACAGTCAGCTTCGACAATGGGAACGAAAGAGTCGTATTGAGGATGTAACGGCTTGTGCGAGACTGACTGTGGGCCCGGCGGCCTCGGTCATGGTACACTTTGCTTGCGCCTGGCATATACGTTATGCTCGTCGATAATCGACATGGAACTGTACAAGGGCCCGGATAAGTAGGGAGGAGAGGCCTATGGGCCCATTCTACCTCTGTCTTTGTTGCTTGGTTTCTTCCTGTTTTTCTTTCTGCCTCCGCATCCATAGCCGAAAGCACATTTCCCCAAATCACCCTCGCTCCTATTCCCTTGGGGATTGGTATCGTGAAGTCGCCGCTCGTCGTCCATACAGTCTCGCCACTACTGGTATGGAATAGAACATTCTCGCATTCTTTAAAGTGGTATGTCCGCTCGTTCGTATTATCCACATTAACGTATACTATCGCTTTCTTGTGGTTTGGGAAGACATCTTTCGACACCTGAAGACTCCGGCGACGACTCGTCTAACAATAAGATACCTGGGTTGCCGCCGAATACGCCGTCACAGGAGTAAGCAAAGCTGTAAATTTATGTGCTACGAAGGCTGTGCTTGGAGAGGATTGCAAGCAAGCCAGCAATTCCCCTTATTGAGAAAACCCCATCCCCGTTGTTGCTGACCCATAAGAGAGCCAAATTGTCACATTGAGAGTTGCTGCAAGCAGGCGAATGCATGACCAGTCAATTCAATGCTTCCTGGGCAGTCACAACCTGGCCAGCACGCCGGGCAGCGTCAGCAGCCCGAGCAGCCATAGAGCCATCCGTGCGACGCCGGATATCATTGAGATCAAAGGACGCATCAAACATGATGCCATTCAACGTCTTGGCGCGCGAGACGGCGACGTAGGTGAGGCCAGACTGGAAATCGCGATGGGATATATCGGCAACAACCCATTCAAGCGTAGCACCCTGTGCCTTGTGCACAGTGATGCTATATGCAATTGTCAAGGGAAACTGAGTGCGAGAGCAGGGCATACTACCCTTGATGAAGTCCCGCCAGGAGCGAAAGATAGGCTGGACGTTGGCTAGCTCAGGGTCGTCGAAATAAGGGGGGCCGGTATAGCGATCGAAGCGGACCATAATGACAAAGGGATGATGAGCTTGAGGATCCTGTACGTGATCCTCATAGGCAAAGTCATATATGGTCCCCAGTGCACCATTAACAAGGCTAACATCAGTCCAGACGTTCTCAGTCAACATAACTCTTGCCCCAATGCAAATGGGTAACTGGTTATGTAAGTTGCCAGCAGTCATAGAGTCAGCTTCGGCGGCTTTTGGACCGACATTTGTTGCCCGAACCTGTATGCAAGGCACAGCTAGGCGTTCCATATGATCCCTATTGAACTCGCGGACCTGGGCATTCGTTGTGTAGATGCGTACTGCCCCGTCAAAGCACGTAACCTCGGCTAAGGTCAGATTGGCCTGGACGCGGGTGCAGAGCAGCTCCCAGTCTAGGACAGTAGGAGCATTTATACGTAGGCTCTGAAGAGCAGTGCGAAAGGGCCTGCTCTTCGCCCTGCTGACGCAACACTTGTCGTAACACAACTGTCTTGTCGAATGCCAGGTAGGCATTGCGGCCATTGATATCAGGTAAAGCCGTGAGCATAGACGTAGTAAAGAGCGGCTTCTCCATAACAGGTGGAAGCTGGTAGAAGTCGCCGAGCGACAAAACGCTACGGCCGCCGAAAAGGTGTCTTGATATTCGGGAAATATTTGTCGGAGGCGGCTATCAATGTAGCCAAAAGTACGCAAGCCAATCATTGACTTCTCGTCGATAATGAGGTAGCGGAGGTTGCGTAGCTTTGACTGTAGGTTGGCAATGTCTGTAGGGCCTAGCAACGGCAGCTCCGTTGAAGACTTGGTAAGAGGAGTCGTAGAAGGGAGTGTAGTGTAACGCCGCCAATTGCATTAGCAGCCACACCGGTAGGGGCAGCCCGAGCGAAGCAGGTTGGAGATAGCTGCCCAAGACGTGCACAGAGCGCTCTGATCATAAAGGATTTACCTGTGCCGCCTTCTCCGTCTACCTGCACAAGGAGCGGTGCCGGGTTTGGCTGTTGAGGGTCGAGCCTTCTCAAGATGTCGAGTAAATAGGTCAAACACAGTGCGCTGCTCGACGTTAAGCTGATCAAAGAGGCCATCAGGGACATCATCTTGGTTGTTGCCTAGGGGGTGTGAAGCTTTAAGCTCCTTCCAATAGTCATGCCCCAGAATGGCTAAATCCGGATACTTGCCAATGTAGGGCTGCCAATCGTGAGCAAGGTCAAAATCGCGATTCCCCAGTAAGTCAATGTCATCTTCATCTGGACCACGATTTGGAAGCACTGCAGCAAGCTCTTCCCAACCCTCAGCCGCAACATCTTCCTCGTTACGCGGTTCTTCCTGGAATTCCTCTTCGACTGGAGGAGGAGGTCCCCGTAGTAGTCGTCTGGATGAACGTCGTGGACAGCAGAGCAATGGTCGTATGCCCCAGAGAAGGTGTCGAAAGGGCGCCATCTACCTCTTTGAGTTCCTGAGGGTCGCGATGAGGATGGTGGAGGGTTAACTTGACACGACAAAGTCTCGTACTGCTCGTTACCGCGGAGGGCCTTGTACCGAGGGAAATAGCTCAACACACGGTCAGGGCTCGGCTGTAGTGGTGCCAGGCTGCCGGGCGTGTAAAGTCAACTTTGGTGAGAAGCTCAAAGTAGGTCAACTGCGCCCATTGATCGTTGCGAGCGAGGTATTTCTGATATATATTCCTTGAGGCCCGAATACCATCAGCAGCTTCATCTACAATGGCTGCCTGCCATTGCTCTTGAGGGCGGCAGTCAACCGATCGTACAGTCCTCGTGCTTTGCTGGAGTGGTAGGCTGAGCAGCAGGTGGTTAATCTCCATAGCAGACCAGTCACGCTCAGCCGTAAGCTTGTTCATGAACTTGGCGACGAAGCTGACGAGACCCTGTCGTGCATTGACTCTAGGCAAGATGGCCCTGGCGACGTCGCGGTAGCTCTCCGTCTGCTTCTCAGCTTTAGAGCAGTACTTGCCGAGATAGTTAACAACTGCATGAAAGGAGGTGCAGGGGAAATGTCATGATTTGCAAGCCAGCCAATAGCCAAAAGGGATTGAAGTTGTTAAGCAGAGGTCGTTGCGTGCGCCATCATACACAAGGAATGTCGGGTTAAGGCCATGTGTGACGTGGGCCTCGGCATGGGAGGCGCGAGGGAAGTGGAATCGACATAGCTTTTCCCTTGACAGAGAGTTGTCAGGCAGTCGGCGGTGTCGCAAGCAATAGAGCTCAGAACAACGATGGCGTTGTACGCGATTAACAACCTCAGCGAGGAACTGGAAAGTACGCGGCGGTCGGACTAGTACCAATGGATTTGCGTCGCCTTGCTGCATCACACGAAGGGGCTCTGGGTTAATGGCAGAGACATAAGGGGCCCAGAACCGGGCAAACTCAGCTTTGCCTTCGAGTAGACATATCAGGCTTTGGTGTATCCCTAACCCAATAAAGGCCGTGCACATGCGTGCTGCCACGGGCCTGCCATTCGTAGCGAAACCAATAGTCGGTAATGTTGAACTTTGGCATCGATACTATCTTAAGGAAGCTAGTAAAACGGCTGTGAAAGTGATATGCTGCGATATGAGGGTTTTCAAGGAGATTCCGGAACGCAATAGCACCCTTACCACGGCCATCAGCCTCACGCCATTCAACATATGACGGCATGTGTCTCTGGAGGCTATCCCAGTGAAGGTCAGCAGCTGAGAAGGTGAGGAAGACACCAGGACAGGTAAGGCCGTGGACGATGGCCTCAAGCTGATGTCTCTGGCCGCCCCAGTAAGCTCGTGTGCCTTTCAAGCTGCTTGAGAAGCGCACAATAGAGCTCAACAGTGCGCGAGATTCTGGGGTATCTTCCTCAAAGGCATTGCGTAGTTCATCCATGTCAACTTGCTGCTGCAGGCCAGGCCTCTTCAGAAAGAAGGAACTGCGAGAGTTAACTTGTTGGCGCATGAGTGTGTTAAAAGCAACATATCGAAAGCGTGGATGTGCTGGGAACGATTGAACTCATTGAGAGGTGTAGACCGGATATTAGGCATCTCGATGTGGGCCTGGCGCAGAGGGATCTGCTCGGGCGGTACGGGTTCGTGATCCTCAAGCTGAGCCCGGAGACGCTCAAGGTCAGCCTGCGCTGCAATGAAGTTTGGGATTGCTGCTGCATCGTAGTCATCAATGCCAGCTGCATCGGCATCCTCAACGGCCTCAGGGTCAGGGTGCTCTATAGGATGTTGCTCTGCTTGCACGCCCTCAGGCACATCGACTTCCTCGGCAAGCATTTGATCAACCACATCACCGTCGTTTGGTAGCTGACTTAGGCGCTCAGCGTCAATGATGATATCTCGATAGCCAGGGTGGTTGAGTTGAAGGTGTTCAAGCCAGACGCGAATGTGACCTTGCCTAACACGGAATTGACGTCGAAACTGCCGGACGACGTGTGGCTGGTTCGTTGAATCCGTGGGCGTATTATGATGATGTCCAATTCGCGCGGCAGAAGAGGAAGCTGCGTATAGACGTGGCCAATATCCCGTAAGAAGTTAATGACATGACCACGATACTTATACTGCTGGCCACGGTACTGGAAAACCTGGATGTGGACATGCACCCGCGCAATGAGCATCTCCTCGACTTGGGATAGCTCTGGGAGCTCGTTGGGAACGCTGCCGAGATCCAGGTTATTTTCTTCGGAGAAGAGGAAAGGTTCGTGAGGCTGCCTTTTCCCATCGGCGTCACGACGACGGCAGGCAGAACAGACATCATTTACAAGGACCATGTTGAACCAGGACTCCTTGCATCGACTGCAGTACTCAAGAGACTCAGAGTCAAGCTTGTCGTTCCACAGATTGAGGAGGTCCTGATCACTCTGAGAAATGGCCTGTGCGTTGAGATCGCCGGCAAACGGTCCAACGATGTCCAAAGGAGGAACGTCTTCATCGGCCTCGTCGCATTGGATAGATTGTAGGCTTGCAGGAGCAGAAAGGCCAATGCGAGGAACCGGATGCAGATTCAAATCGCCTGCTGTGAAAGCAGAAGAGGCTGGAGACGACACGTTGGAAGGGCTGCTTGACATCGGATAAGAGATATGAGAATGTGTTGCTAACCGCGGGATAGAGAGCAGGAGACGACGGGGCCGGCTGCATAGAAAGCAACTGGGAGGTGCCTGGCGTTGCGGATGGCTCATGGCCTTGCCGTCTCTCCATACGATGACGTCGACTGATAGTAACCTGGCGGGCGTGTGCCGTTGCATGGCCTGGACTATCTTCTGGCCGAATGCCCCGACGAAAGAACCGAGGGCGATGCTGTAGTGGAGGTAAGCGTAGCGGAGGCACGCCAGGAGAAAACGAAGGACGAGGCTGCAGAGGAGGCAGAGCAGGCGAAGCCGAAGACGATGTCTGGGGTGCGGTAGGCCTACGCGCCGTTGGACTCTGGATATCTAGGCTTGCGTGTCGCTTATGGATTGTTGGGATGCGTTGAGCCTAAGTGAAGATCAACAGACGAACGAATTGAGAGGCAAGAAGAGACACACAGGACGATTATGAACCCGACGACAGGGGAGACATTTTCTAGTGCGCTTAGATGGGTCAATCAGGTGAATGAATTGATCGTCTTGCTTGAACTGGTTGCATTGAATGCAAAGACGATCGGGAAGAAGCTCCCCCGAAGGAGGCTCCCCCGTAGGAGGACCCCACGTAGGAGGATGAGGAGACGGCATGTAGATGTCATATCAGAAGATCAATGTCAAAGGATAGGAATCGAGGTTTTCAAGAGGAAATTAGGTGTGTGTGTTTATTACGCCCGGAGAATGACTCTAATAGGGCCTAGACCTTCTGACTATTGACGCTTCGATACACTGATGCATGACACCCCAAGCCCCACGGATCTGCTTACGCTGCGCCAACCATTCCACTGTTTGCTTCCTGACAGACCTGCTTGAAGGTCAATTTCTCCAAGTGTTCAGCATCCTATTCTCAGCAACTGAAGCGCGATTTGTCGAAGACGAAGCTGGATGTGTTATTGTTGATGGTGGTTGGTACGCCGATTGTACTTGACGAATTCTTCTATCACCGAATTACCGAATTGGGTCTTCATTGAACGTGACGTTGTGAACTGATGTTCTCTCATGACGCTGCCCCCTTTGACGAGCGGGGAACCCGGGTGTACCCTGTTTCACCAGGGGTGCCTCCAGCCGGCTTCGAACCGACCCCTCTGCGACGGACGCAGAGGCTCCAGACGTGTCACCACTACGCCATGGAGGCAGGAAATTAGGTCCTCCGGGCGCCCCTACGTTCTATGGCAAAGGTGCGGGTAAACCTTTTAGACCAATCAGAGGCGTCTTTTACGGTGTGAATAATTTCTACTGCAGACAGTATACATAGGCTCTAACCAATCACAACAAAGTTCACGGTAAAGTCTGGGTAAATCTGACCAATCACCTAGACGTATTCGAAGTGGGCTCCAATCAAAATGCAACTGTTAGCAAAGTGGGTCTAAAAGTTTCGCACTTTTTGCTCAGTAAAGAAGCTCCGCTGAATTTTCGCACTGCGTGTACTTCGTCACTTCGTAGCACAAATTTACAGCTTTGCTTAATTAGCATAGCTCTTCGAGGCGGGGACCTTTGCGTACTAAGACCGCAGCCGTGACAGGATCTGACATGGCGTTTCAAGTATTTTGTCTTGTGCTCGTACAAGGTCTGTTGCTCAAGATTCGACTTTAGGACGGCGTGGTGATCTATCCAAGAGTTTACTGCGTTGTCGCGGGGCAGGACAAGCAGAACCGGGAAACTATCACGTGAAAGCGGGGTACATGAAGCTCCAGGCCATTTTGGGAAAGCCCTCGGTGGAGCCTGAGCAGCTTTGGAGCCCAACCACTCGAAGCTGATGCCGTCAGGGCCCATTCCAAAACACGCTCTGAACGCGGAGTGAACACTTCGAAACTGCCGAGAAGCGACGTAGCAGCTAAGGAACTTCATCATGGATGAGCCGGCCGATGCCGTGATCATGGTGGAGCAGGGGCACCCTCCGACACCCACGAAAGATCGAGTCGCGTCGCGCAGCCCAGCAGCAAGGTCCGAGACACCGCGCGACAACTCGAAGACACGGCGGACAAGACGAAGAAGAGCGCCAGAATCACGACGCGAGCGACACTGAATGAGGTTGCAGCCAACGGCACGACCGAGCGGCGGAGGGTCAGCAGTAGCGGACTAGCGGCACTGTCAACGAAGGCAGGGCGATGGTCCAGCTGGCCCTAGAGTTTCTAAGCAAATCCCGCGACGAAATTCAGAGGCTGAAGCGAGCAGTGACCGAGCAGGGCGATATTATCAACGGACAGTAGCAAACGATACCAGAACTGGACAGACAAATGAAGGAGATAGGCGATGAACTGAAGCACGTGCGCGACAAGCTTGACGCAATCGCGAGTAGCCCGATTCTCGCGAGCGCCCAGACCAGTCCACGAACTTCGTACGCAGATTCACTCCAGTCTCCTCCCACCAGACGAAAACATGATAAGTGCGCCTCGGCAGCATCGCCTGGTCGAGGCCCATGGCGTCGATATTGTTGCGCATGTCAAACCGGGAGTGACCACTGACCGTTGTCGATCTCGGAGCCTGGTGGGTGATAGCCCTGATCATCTCTGTTGTGTGCGGCCGTGGTTTTCGATGCAAGATTGAGATGGGCTGACAGCCTAGGTTTCCCAGGTGCCCTTGGGCTTCCTTCGTTATGTGCCGACCCATTGTTGGTGATAGTTACTCAGCCTTAGCACGCCTTGTACTACCACAGGAGTCCTGCGACCCCGCCCCATCAATCGTGCTGTTGATCTCGACAAATGCTACGTATCTGCCGCTGTTACATCCTTGCAAGCTTCGCGAAGGATGTCCGTCATCCAAGAGTACAACGCTGAATCCGGCTTTTCCAAATCTCCCCGTTTGGGAATACTTTCTTGCGCAACTGATTGACAGTCGGTATCAACGGTTTATAGTACGGCGTGAAATTTTCCGCAATCCTCAGGAATATACTTTGACACCAATGGTGCCGACTTTCAGACGGATTAGCCTGTTGTTCTCGCGAAGAGAGGGTGCAAGTGATGAATAGATTATGTTTTTTCTCCTTAGATTCTTCTTCCTCCCTAACAAAAAGTGACTTCTTATAGTTCTGTCACCTGTGGCTGCCTTGTGGTGGCGATGTCGCCACCCAGGCCGCCTAGATGACGTTGTCATCTAGAAGGTTCGATACCACCGCTTAACAACAACATTATTCATCCTTCTCAGTCACCTTTGCTAGAGTCAGCCCGACTAGGTAACCTCCGGACCTAGATCGTTAACCCGTTTTCACGACACACCCCCTTAGCTATAGCCTATCCCGATCGGGTGTAGCTAAACAGCCTTTAAGGGCAACGATCGAAGGGCCGATCGACCGGTGTGAATAGGAGATACGAATGCTTTACCTTCCCGGCGGCATAGGCTTCCTATGGTCTTTGATCTGGTCTCGGAGGTCTTCTAACCGGGCCTCTATGCGTAGCCGCTCCGTGAGATCTTCGAGCCCAATCATCCTTTGGAACTCGAAGAGTTTCTGCTTTGGCAGAGCTTTGGTCAAGCCATCGGCTCTCATATGTGCCGTGGGGACCCAACGGACCCTGATTCGGCCTTCCTGGCATTCCTGACGTAGCCAGTGTTGATGGATATCGACATGCCTTAGCCGTGTAGATAGCTTCGCGCTTCCTTCTTCGAGGAGCCTGATTGTCTGCGAGTTATCACAATCTACTAGCAACGGCAAGGGGATCTGAATCCGTAAAGACGTCAACAACCGGCTTAAGAAGATTGCTTCCTTTGAGGCTTCTGAAAGAGCTAGGAGCTCTGCCTCTGTGCTCGACGTTGTGACTGTGGCTTGCTTCGAGGCTTTCCACGCAATGGTTCCCCCGAATAGGGTCATAACGTAGCCTTGAGAGCTCTTTCTGTCGAGAGAATTGTCTGCAAATGATGCATCACTCGAACAAAGAAACAGTTCGACTTTCTTTGAGCCCCCAAGCCTTATTCCGTACGAACGCGTGCCGTAGAGATAAAGGATGACTCTGTCTACGGCTCGTTGGTGCGATTCGTCCGAGTTCTGGTTGTGGCGGGCTAGCCGGGAGACTGCAAATGCAATATCCGGCCTCGTGGAAATGGCTGAAAAGAGCACAGATCCGACCTTCTGGAGATATTGATGTATCTCCCTTTGGTTTGCTTGGCTAGAAGCCGGAAGGAGCTCTTCGTTCGTGACCATCAGGTGTCTGGGAGCTTCGAAGGGCCTAGGCTTTCGGGAACGTACTTATGAGCTATCTTGTCGATATACGAATCCTGGGTCAGCCAGATCGTTCGATGGGGCCGATCCCGGAGGATGTGTATCCCTAGAAACCATTTAGGTTCCCCTAGGAAGCTCATTTTATAGCGTTCTTCGAGCCTTTGTATGGCTTCCTTAGCTAAGCCTTCATCTTCCTTTCGGTAGGCCCAGATAATGTCGTCCACGTAGAAAAAGACGGTCACGGCACCCTTCATCATCACACAGGGTTCCTGAGGGACTTTCTTGAACCCCAGCTCTTCGAGGAGCCTGTGAGATGCTGTTGCCAAAGAAGAGGGGATCGGCGTAGGCCGTAGAGAGCTTTCCGAAGCCGTAGCACCTTCCCGGGTTTCTGGAAGCCTGGCGGCATCCTCATAAAGACGACTTCTTCTTCTTCAAGAGGGCAATTGACGAATGCGTTGACGGCATCCATCTGATCAAGCTCGAGGTCATACTCGGCGGCAATGGCCATGAGGGTCCGGAAAGACATCCCGGCTAAGGTTGTGGCCCGGGTCGGAAGGTCCCCCTTTTTCTGTTGGTTGCCGCAAACGACGAGCCGGGCTTTGCACTTCTGAAGAAGTCCGTGCTTATCTGTCTTATAGATGAATACCCACTTGCATCCGAGAACCTGGTGGCCGGCAACCTTTTTCCAAGAAATCTCTTCAAAGGAGCCCATTTCCTCATGTGAGGCAAGATGATCTTGTTGGGCTTGGGCAATTCCTCCCTATAAGGGTGATTCTCGAGTTGTTTCTGGGTTTCTGGGGATCCGGGAGATCTCTTATGGACCTTGGTGGGCTTCTTTGTGGCCTGAAGAGCCTCCCTGCTGTAAATGCTCCGCGGCATCCGTCTTGGATGGGCGTAGGATTAAAGTCCGAAAATCGGTCCGATCGGTCGAAAAACGGGTCTTCCTGTCCTATCCCTGTCTGATCAGACGCTTCATTGGCTTTGCAGAGCAAGGCCGAAAAAACAGCCGCTGTAGGATTGTCCGGAAAGTGAGGTTTTTCCACCCCCTCACGGAGGGCTGCTTTCCCTCCCACCCCCTCAGGGGTAGCGACAGGAAGATGGACTGAAAAGACTGCCCCTGGTTCGTCTTCTGAATCCGCTGTTGTGGGAGGCGTCAGAAGGCCAGCTTCTTCGAGAACTCTAGCCCTCTCGTAGTCTTCCTTTTCCTGTTCTTCGCTTTGGTCTTCTTCTTCTTGGGTCATTACGACGATCGTGCTTCCTGCAGTGCTTTCTGCGTCGAGGTCTTCGATATCGGTTTCTTCATCGGTTTCTTCATCGAGAGCTTCTTGGTTACCTCTCTGATCCTCCGGGATCTCTATCTTCTGGATAAGCTCTTCGATGCCTGATAGCAGCGATTGTTGCTCGAGCTTTCCGTCGAAGAAGGTATGTTCGTCGAAAACAACGTCTCTTGTCGAGACAACCCTCTTAAGATATGGAATCCAGATCCGGAAGATATTCGTAGAATTATAACCGACAAGATACCCAATGTGAGCCCTCGGATCAAGCTTCCGCAGTTTGTCCCTTTTCAATTGGGCGTTTGCAGTCATCGCGTAGGCCCTGCAACCGTAAGCCCGAAGATGTGACAGTTGGGCATTCTTGCCTGTGAACAGCTCGATCGGGGACTTCCATTCAAGTTCTTCTTCGGCCCCTGGCTTCGCGTCGGGCTCCGGAGCGTCGGACCCGGCGTTGATTTGGACCCTCGGCTCTCTTGGAGTTCGATTTCGAAGATAACATGCGGCTTCCACGATCTCTTTCCAGAGGTTATGCGGGAGCCTTGAAGCGATTCTCATCACCCTGCCTCTTTCTATAGAAAGGCCTCCCGATCTTTCGGCCCCTCCATTCTGGGATTGGGTGTTTGAAGCCGATCTTTCCGCTGAAATGCCCTTCTTTCGTAACCATGCTGTGATCTTCTTCGTAAAGAGCTCCCCATCTGAGCGTACGATCTTCACTTCGAAGCCGTATCGGTCTTTCATCCAATGGACAAAATCCCTCAACACAGCCTAATTATGCTTCTCTTGGTAAGTCCGCATAAAATAGGGGAAAACCATTCCTGTAAAGGCGTCTGTGATAAACATCACACGGACGAAGTCTTCGTGGTCTGCGGAAAGGTCGGTCCAGTCGATCCAAATCTCGTGACAAGGGCGATTTCTTTCCCGGTCGGGGGTCTGCGGGAAATTTGTTTCCTGGCCTTCCCCTGAGCACAGAATTCGCACTCCACAGTCTTTGGCCCCTTGATTCGAACCCCGTTCCGAAGGCCTAGCTTGTGGAGGGCCAGTGGGCCCGGTGACCGAGGCGGGCGTGCCAGAGGTTGCCGTCTCCTTGGCTGGCCGGGCGAGGTCCTTGGTCCCGGCCCTTCGAGGTTTTGTTGCTTGGAAGACTGTGTCGAAATTGACGGTCTCCGCTTCTGCTGTTGGCCTGAACTCCAGGACGAATTGTTGGTATCTCCTTTGAAGAATCCCAATCGTTTGATTCCGCCGTACTAGCCTCGTAGGCTCCGAGAAGGTGTCCCAATAGATTCCTTCATCTCGTAGGGCTTGGAAAGAAATCAGGCTCGTTGAAAAGCTTGGGCAGTAAGCTACCTTTTTAAGCCGAAGTATTTGGAATGATCCGTCCGGTAAGGTCATCGTGAAATTAACCCTGCCGTACCCCTCAATCCGGACTTCTGATTCCCCTGTGATTAGGTAGTCTTTCTGGGCCTTTCTGAATGACCGGAATCGGCTGAGTGTGTTACACACGTGAAGGGAAGCTCCTGAGTCAAGGATCGCGGATAGGCGGAGCGGGTATTCCGACACTGCCACCGATGACCCGGCTGGGTAGACGAAAGCCGGATTGGCCGTTCCAACCATCCTTCCTCGAACCCGGGTCGCTGGTTGCTATTTCCCATCTTTCTGGATTTCGCGGATCTCCTCGACCTTCTTCCGTAGGTCGGGGTTATCCTTGATAGCCTTCTGGGCTCTCTTGCACAGCCTTTCAGATCGATTGAAATGGCCTGGCCGTAATTCCTCGAAGACTTGCCAGCAACCCTCAAGTTCATGGCTGTCAAGACCACAAGCTGGGCAACGGTCTTTGTCAGATGCTTCCTTCCTCTTCTTCCGTGGCGTGGAATCTTCTTTCGGACTGGCCTGAAAGCCGGCTCCTCTTTCACCGTTCCCGGGCCGTTACTGGGTTCAATTCGACGATTTCCTAACCTGGCGAGCTGCTTCCTGGTAGGTCCATCTTTCTTCTAGGTATTGTTTTGGTCGCTTTGGGGATTCTCGATGCAGTCCTGGCCTATGTGCTTGGTAGATCTTGAACTGGATGGCAGCGGCTTCTTCGTCAGCCTTTGCTTCCGCGGATAAATATAGCCGAGAAGCCGTCGGAAAGGGGCTTAATCAGGCTAGCTATGTCTCGCAGCCATTGGCCGGTCACAGCCTCCACGAGGAAGTACTGTTCAGCTTCTCCCATGATTTCCTCCCATCTAGCGAGCCAGGTAGAGATATTCTTCGTCGGAAAAGCTCGAAGATGGATCGTATACTGGGCTCGGATACGTTCCATCATATAGCCCCTCGTTGGGGCTGTCGAGGCCTCGAGCTTTACAAACCACTCCCGAAGAGTCTCGTCGTCGTGAAGGAGGTCAACTTCGCTTTGCTAATCGTTTCCGTAATCGTCGTACGGGCTGCTGTGACGAGCCTCGTCTCGTAGAGGTATTCCTTTCGGCGACCTTCGTAGTCCCTCGATGCTTCAGAATAAGCCTTCTGCTGGCCTGCATTCAGATCAGCAAATCTTTCAGCCTCAGCGTTGAAATCACTGAATTCGGGGCGTTCAGGTAGTTCAAGGGGGGTCTTGTCATGTTCGAAGATGAGCTTGTGGATGGTCTTGTCCACACGGGCCCGAAGCTCCTTCAGCCACTTATCCCAATCCTGAGGCTCCGTAAGAATCGTGCGCTGGATGGTGTCCTTCGACATCTTGGTTGAAGCAGAAAGGATGATTAAGGAGAGAGAAATGGGGCGTAGAGGTGTCTTAATCGACGATAAGTTCAATCGAGAGCGTTTGTGGAAGAATGCAGCAGCCGGAAGTTACAGAAACACTGTTTCTCCCGGGCTCATAACTCTCGAAGAGAGGTGCAAGTGATGAATAGATTATGTTTTTCTCCTTAGATTCTTCTTCCTCCTAACAAAAGTGACTTCTTATAGTTCTGTCACCTGTGGCTGCCTTGTGGTGGCGATGTCGCCACCCAGGCCGCCTAGATGACGTTGTCATCTAGAAGGTTCGATACCACCGCTTAACAACAACATTATTCATCCTTCTCAGTCACCTTTGCTAGAGTCAGCCCGACTAGGTAACCTCCGGACCTAGATCGTTAACCCGTTTTCACGACAGTTGTCGCTCTCGTAATTCCAGCTGTCATATTCTGTAGCTCCAACGTCTTTGCCTGACCCGTTGTAGTGAACGCAAATCCAGAATAGCACCCAGAAGAATGACTCAAGGTCGTGCATGAAGGAGTGCTGCTCGTTGCCTAACAGTGCCCCGATGGCCATGAATGCCCTCGTACCTGTCTTCCCTTTCGCTCCCGAGGCATCTTCACGTTGGGTTCTAATGGCGAGGTCTAGGTCGATCAGGAAAGCTCGCCGGGAGGGGTTTTCATCGTCCTCATTGACCATAAAAATATGAGTCCAGAACGAGCTCGGCCACGTCATGCGCATTACGACTGCACCGAAACAGCTCCACGATTCATCGCATGTGCCAAGTCAGCCAATCTTGGCTTGCGGACGATCCTTGTATGCCTTGGGCTAGGTTGAACCAGACGCACAGTGAGTTTGCCCTCTACGGGACTGGTTACAAGACCATTATCATAAAGAGGAGACGGGGGAAAACCGAGCTTGGCTTGATCCCGTGGACGCCACGGGTTGAATTCATGAGGAAACGGCTGAGTGAACTGCGCTGTGTTGCTGAACAGAAAATCATGCCGGGATATCCACTTTAGCTAGCCTCGACTATTATCGGCTCTTGGCTGGTACAGCGGTATCTCAGATTTGGCCGCCACATAGTGAATGCTCCTGGCTCGGGTAGTCCGACTCTGAACACGCATGTTGTTTAGTTCAGCACAGTACCAAACGCAGCGAGTCGCTCTATTTTATGCTGGGACGGTCTAGCAAGCTAGTTCTGTTGTAGGCCATATATTGCCAATTGCATTGTCGCATTCATGGTACATATGTTGGATAAGTGCGCGATAATGTCGCTATTAAGCGATATTATTGAACCTTCTAGAAAACAATGTCACCTAAGCAGACTAAGTGGTGACATCGCCACCTCAAGGCAGCCACATAAGTATAAGAAGGGAGAACTTCTCAATCATTTCAGACAGATAACAATGAACATATTTGACTCATACTCTCTACTTCCATTCCCTGCGAAATGCATGCTGTCAACGTAGACGGTAGCCATGTTTTCGACCGCGAACGCATCGAAGGATTGGCGTTTTATTTTGCAAAGCCGCAACGCTTGTCTCACTGAGCCTGCTCACTGCATCTTACCAGGCCGTTCCGCTGTCTTGCCAAGCCGGACCGTTCGTCATGGTGAAATCGCGCCCGTTCTACATCCCGACATGAGTGGTAGGATACCGTACCGACTTAGGCTACTTCCTGTCTTAGACAGGACTTGACTATGTGAACATTGCCGGCGAAACTTTGCCTTTGAGGTATAGGTACTTATGTGCCTTGATCGCGTCGCGGAGCGCCCCCAGGAGCTACGATATCTTTTCGTACTTGTGGATCGCTCGGCCTGCCGGGGAGATCACTAGACATCGAAAGACTCGACTATCATAAGGTCCGATGTTAGGAGCGAGCAGACTCGTCCTCTGAGCTTCCCCAACATCATATGTAACTTCGTCCTGCCCTTGGCTCGACCTTTGACTGTTGGATCTTGATCGCTTAGATTTCCGGCCGACATCAACCGGCTTGCGCTTTCTTAACGGCTTGTCAGTGATGCTCAAGCCATGAAGCTTTCTGAATGACCGAGAAAGGGCACCGGGAGGCTGAGACAGGGAGAAAGAATGCGAAAAATTCGACGCAGTGCTTGGAAGACCTCGGAAGGAGTAAGGCCTCGTGAATGTCAGGCCTGATCGCATTTCATTGATGCTGGTTATGCGACGATAGCCTATCAACTCAGCAATGCCCTCGACTTCTCTTTAACGGCCCAATCTCAGAAGATCTGCCTCTGGCTTTCGCCGGTCAGACGTCCACGAAAACTTCGCGACATAACTCCAATTCTCGGAGTCCGGAGGCTTCGTGAGATAGCAAGACGCCCCACGGCAGACGATTGCCCGTTGACGGGTGAAAGGCTGCGATTCCAGCCGCAGCCTCGTCCTACTTGAAGCCTCGTCCTGCTCAATGCGTATCAAGCGACTGTCGCCATCCAGCTCTGTAAAGGTGTCCAAGCCCAGTTCCTCGTCATTTATCATTGTGTAGCCGGCGATCACCTGTATGAACCGTTCGGGCTTCTCATGGATATCGAACGCGCCAGGACTGTAACATCCCAAGCGGTCAAATACCCAAACCTCCATCTCGCGCCCGCAGATTGTAAACGCGTGGACATACCAACGCGTCGGCTGGCAGGAGAAAACATCTCGCACGTGTCGGCCGATCTAGATTAGCGTCGCCTTTTTTTTTGGCTCTTGGACACCTTGAGCTCACCCATCACTTCGACATCCCTCCGGAGAGTCGTGCGCGGCATCTGGCAGCTGCCCATTCTTTTACTTGGCAAAGAGATCAATTTGTCGCTGAGCTTCGGCACCGACAAGATCCTTCGGGTTTGTGGTTGAGTAATAGCCGCGTCGTTCCTTCGAGAGGAAGTCGTCTTGGAATCGGACCACCAGTCCAGAAATTCGGCCTGCACGGGCGGGACAGGAGGATCGGTCCACGCGCCATCGACGTGCCGATGCTTCGTCGCCTCATAGACGTTCAAGGCACGGCACGTCCAGTCTCCCCTCTAAGTATTTCTATCGTGATATGTGCAGAAGCTGATCTCTTCAAATACCTTTCTTTCCAGTCTGTTCGGCACCTTGCTGGGAAGCGGAGAAATGAGTAATGGGAGTGCTGTCGTACGTGATTGGGACGCTTGGAGGTGTCACTCGGGCGAACATGGTTGTAGGATCAAGCACGGCGCTGTGTCGAGTACCGGTAGTGTGTCGAGTAGTGAGTGTATCGAGCGGTCTCGAGCGGGGAAAGGATTTTACTCCGCACCTTCCTCCTGAGTTACTATACCCGTTCGGTGTGGGCGGGTGTAGTTCTCTGCGACAGCCGTGCAATCTTGTACCGAGCTTGCACCCTGCATGCACCTTCTTTCGTTCCTCAAGGCATTTCCACGTCAAGTCCTTTCGGCCCGCTAGTTGATCCGCCATCGTACCAAATTACGGACGCGGCGCATTGGGCGACGGGTACGAAGTACCCGAATGCGCCGCCAAATTACGGGCGCTGCTTATGTAACTCTACCAATAATACTTCAACCGACTCATCTCCTCTGTCTCCTGAAAGCATCCGTTCCGTTTCCCCAGTCTCGACAAGGTCAAGATGGAACCGTCGCCAAGCCCGAATCGACGCGCCAATGCAGAGGCCCTTTCCATCTACGAGTCGGCTCGCCGCCAACCGAGAAAGCGCATTCTCATCGAGCCTCTACTGTGGACGAGACTGCATCTCGAGATCCTGTCGTGCACATTTAGCCAATGCAGTCCTGCCCCCCCGGTCATGATGCACCTTCCGTCGACAGAGAATGCTTTTCGAGATGCCAGTCGACGGCGACTTTTTGAGCGCTACTTCTTTGACAATCGACACTTGTGGGTGGCAAAGGAAGGATCAATACGCGGGTTTCTTTGCCTCGAACCTTCACCATTGTCTTGGCGGTGAGTCGATGCACATACCAAGTGGCGTCATCTGACCTTGGCACCCGTAGTTGCGATCTCGACTTGCATCTTGGTGGCTATCGCAGCGTCCTTCTTCCATGCCACTACTACTGCCTCGGCGATCATATCCCCGTAGCTGCACATGTCGACCGCAGCCGCATTATCTCTCAACGCAAGAAAAGGGTTGGGCCGACGATACGTCGATACAACCCCCCTGCCGTCAACTTAGGCAAGCTTCAACTCAAGATGGTTACTCCCACCGAGTCGTTGCACGATCCGTACCTAGTGGCGCTCTTGATTGCCCTCGGCCAGCTACAATGGAGGCGTTGGGACCGCAAAAACTCAGCAGGCGGCTGGCGTGACGGTAAGTATGCACACCTCATCTAGATCAGCTGACCTCCTAATGCGTTGGCAGCCCAAGCTCATGTTCAGCACCGAAGATTGCAATTTTATGTACATCTATTCGGTAAATATATCCTCGTCCCTCATCAACATGTTCGATAACCCAGCCATGAAGCCGTCGGCGCCTGATTCCCTTGCTGTGCAAATATCCACTATTCCCTATAAACCTGTCGAAACGTTTCGTGGTCGTCTCTTGGCGCTCCTCCTCTCGGCGACTTGCCCCGAGGACGTGGACAAGTCGGAAAAGTTGATTGTGTACGGATATACGTGCACCTAGATGCAAGCGCCAACCCCCCTGAAAGGTTGCGGCTGCTGCATGCATGCTGCAAACTGCAAGTCATTACCCACCCTTCATCATTCCCATGTTCACCAATCCTCTCGACGGCTGGCCCAGCACACGGCGCTTGATGAAACACGGCCCCCAAATTGGAAGCGGCAAAACTTGTCACGCTCCCCCGCCATCACTCTTAAATATCGTCGAGGTTGCCCGGCTGGGGATACACTTGCCTCGCCAACCCACTACTGTTTCTAGCAGGACAGCTGACACTCATCACATCTTTTGCTCTTCGTAACATGCAACAATCATGTCTTACTACGACACAGTCAGAGACGCGTCCACCTTCGCGCAAAGAGGCAAGGGCAGAGATAACCTCTCTGCTCTGGTTC